GAAGGTATGATTCCTGTCTTCGAGAACGCCTTCTTGATTAACTCCGGTTGTAGTATCGCAAGATGGGTGTCACCATAAACCTCCAGGAAGTTCTCTTTTGAGATCTCCTGGCCCGTCTCTCGAAAGAGTTTGTCACGGTTCTCACCGAACCTTTGCTTCATCGGGCTGAATATCACGACATCCAGACCTTGGTAAATGTGAGTTGTATGGGCAGGATAGCACAAGACATGGATCTTATGCGCCTTGCAGAACATCAAGAACCCGCGAGTGACATGTGAACCATGTCCGTCGATGTAGAGGACTCGCCACCTGCCACCCGCCTTCTCACGAGTCATTCGCTCGAAGTGCTTTGCGTACTCGATGCCGATCTCATTATCCGTCCAGCCCTTCTTCGAGTATCCCAGCCTTGTCGCAGTAAGTACATGATATGATCCAAAAGGTTATCATTACTCACATTGCTTCTGCAGGGTTATCTTGCTTCCACCGAACCGCAAAGCCCTTTCCAGAAAACAAAACGGCTGGAGGTATGGCAGTCCCATCCAAGCAGATATTGACAATGACAGTCGTTGTCTCCCTCGTTCCAGCTTGCTGCTGGTACTGGACGTTCTTGCCCACTCCGCCAATCACCCGCTCTTCTCCCTCATCACCGTTAGCCTGAAAACCTGCCTCATCCAGCGCGTACGTGTTCTCAGGTGCAATTGCGTTGCCCTCATCTCCATGCAGCTGGACGTTCTCAACGAGATCACACCAGGCCTTATGGTTTTCTGGGTTCGCAGCTTTCCCTCGGACATCATGGAGTGGCTGAGTCCGGTATATGTGAAGGTGTTTGTGATGCCGCTCAACAAAGCGGTGGGACCAGTGCTTCCCAAGACCAGGAAAGGAGGTGCCATAATGCGCTCGGCAGAGCTCTATGACGTGCTCCTTCAAACGACGATGTGACAGCCCGAAGCCCTGAGCTGCCGTCTCGATGAGGTAATTGACAACCTCTTCTTCTTCGACAGCGCTCAAATGAGATGAATCCCATTTAGTCTCCTCCCGAGGACGTGTTTTGCCAGTTGCGTGATTACGGACAGTGTTGTGATTCAGCTTCAGCCAGTGGCCTGTCTTGGCATGCCATCGCTTGCGTGCCTCCTCAGCCACCTCCCGGTAAGACAGGCGCTCGTCTTTTGGCTTCTGTTGCTCATCCAGCCAAATTGCGTGAGCAATCCGGTAAGCTCTTGCCTTTTCCTCTTCTTCTTGGCGTTTTTTTAGCGCGTCGGAGGCTGCGTGCTTTGCCATGGGGGTGTATTAAGGTAGTTTAGTGTTGACCGTAATAAAGCGTGTTGAGGAGCTTGCGGAAAAAGCAGTTATGTGTTCGAAATTGAGGAAAACGGGGGATCAAGGTGCAGCGTGACGGGTGTGTCACACTTATGATGCGGTGTGACATTCCCCATCACCGATGACCAATTTCCCCCCTCCAGATGATCTTAAGGCCCTGGAGCTCTCTTGGTGATAGCCCAACCCAAAATTTGCATTTCAGTCAGTCAGAACATGATATTCAGACATCTTTTACTCTCAAAGTTGGTCTCTAGTGTCATGGAAGAGTCACGAAGGATGGTCGATTTTTTTGCCCAATTTCCGCTTTTGGAATGTTTTCCCATCCCTGTCAGCGGAAGCAGTGCCGCCTCTCCCACAAAGGTTGCAAATGGTGATCCAACCATATATTCACCCACAGGATTCAAGAAACATACCCGATCATAGTCCTATCACTCAAAAAGTCACTGTGTACAACTGGGCGGGGGTGTACAAGAAGCCAGTGAATTACTGCAATTATGCTCTGACGGGCAAGACGGGCCGGGATCCGTTCGATCCCGCGTTGAGTTTTTGGAGGCTGCTACATACTTACTATCAAGGCCGCGTCTTCCTAACATCTTCCTGGTAGTCACACACCATGCCTTACGTTCTGCTCCTTAGAGAACCTTCTTCAGATAGCCCGGATCGCTACGAAGCAGCGTTCTGATCCGAGAACTACCTCCCGTTATCAGTTCCAGTTCTCGAAACTGTCTACACGAATGTTCCGTGTCTTCGTGATATTGTCCAGAGAGGGCCCCAATCACAAGACTTCGAAGGGGTAGTCATCACGAGCAAGCGCTCCTGCGATGCATGGAAGGAAGCCTTGCAATTTCTTCAGGAGGGAGGTAACACAATAGGTCTGGCACGCTTGCGGTCAACTTGAAATACGCATTTGAACTTTACTTCTGGCCGCTTGTTGCTCTATTCCGATCTACGTTGTGGGGCAGACAACTGCGACTGCCCTCAGAGAGGTGTTCTCGACATTCGGTCTCCCTGACCCAGATATAAGAGGCCAAACGTCGGGAAACGCTGCGTCTCTGGGTCCGTTCATCCTCGAGGACCTCCGACAGCGGCCGGCGAAGCTGCTGTACCTCACAGGCGATAAGAACCGAGATACTATCAGTCGCATCCTCACAGAAGGCGGCATATCTTTGGAACCGTTGCAAGTCTACGAAACGCGGGGATCTTCGACCTTCGAGTCGTCGTTGGCTACAGCTCTGGCCCCTTGCCCGAAATGTAGGCCTCTTCTTCAACTCTGTACATTTCACTAACTGATGCATTTTGCTGAAGCCGGAAAACACTGGTGGATTGTGTTCTTTGCACCCTCTGCTGCAGCATTCGTGACGCCAATTTTGCGCAAATATTTCATCCTCGAGAGTAGGAACTCAGAGTCCCAAGGATTGCTTCCCTCAAAGATCGCCGCCATCGGACAGACGACCGATGCCTTCCTTCAAGAGGACCTTCATCTCCATGTCGCTGCCATGGCGCAGAAGCCGGCTCCAGAGAACCTCATTTCCATCATAAAGCTCCAGGACGCGGAAGATCCATAATATGAAGCCCTTGAAATGATCGAATCGACCCAAATCCTCCCATTTGCTCGTGGTCGAGGTGAGCCCCCCTTTATTCCATTGCTCTTCGGTCTCACTTCGTACAGTCAACCCCTCTTCCTGCTACAACCACGAAACCTTGATCTATCTACAGATTGTTAAGTCTCTGGACGACTTGATCCGCGCATTGCTTACCATCTTGTGACATCATTATGTTCAAAGGAATGCCAGCTGCAGCAAAGGGATCACCACAACTCCTACGATCACCAGCACCTCCGCGGAGAACACAGTGGACGTCGCACCACTTGTGGGAGAAGTTGTGGGGGCTGCTGCGCTCGTCGCGGTCGTTGAAGCGAATGAATCTGTGAGAATACTCGTCGCTGTAGTCAGCGAGGTAGCGTTGGAGCTCGGTGTGCTTGAAAGAATGCTTGTGGGCTCGGTGGACTCAGTTGAGTGTCCGCCATGATCATCCGACGAAGTCGAGACTGTGGTGGCAGGAAGGGGAAGGGAAAGGCTGCTGGTCGCAGTGCTGTCGATGACGATGTCAACCATATTCACCAAAACCGTGTCAGTGAACGTACTGAGGGATCCCACTGGGTGTTACGCGACTAATAATCGTCAAACTCTGTCCAACTGCAGCCACTACGGCACTGGACAGTACGAGGAGGATCTGGCTGTTGAGAAGACGCATGGTGAGGATCAGGGGGTAAATCGAGAGGCCACAACTATATATATACGCATCCAGACTCCTGTAGGTATCCAAAACGCAACAGCTGCGCCAGTGGCGTTGGTAGGACAGGATCTATATCAAGGTGTAATTCATGTGCAAGCAACATGGTGTGGCGTGTGCAACGAACGTGAAAGGGAAGGAGGGCGACAAAGTTGTCCAAGAGTACGCTAAGGTCTGGCCTTAGCATGTACCGCCGTTGGCGAAACGGTTCTTCGACACTGGGTGTCCCGACTGCTCCCAAGTCGATATATTGGCGTTAGTGTAGATCTCTAGATAGCTGCGCGAAAGAACCTATACGTGGAGGTTATTTATAGACGAGATAAAAATAACTCGCGTTTCAATATATTTTGCAACCGTGGTGAGCCCCAACCGATGTTAATGGCGTCCTTGGGCGGCTAGACACAAGTCCTATTGACGCTCGTCGTCGCGGGGAAGATCAGATTCTCGAAATCAGGATCTCCAAAGTTGCGCGAGAAACCCAGATTAGCAATAATCTACTAGAAAAAAGTGAGGTCCAGTATAAAGTCTAAAATACTGACTGAGGTGTGAATCATGGTCCCACTGAGAGGACGAATTAACAACCAAGATTCGCCAGCCCTCGGGTCATAAAAATTGTTCCTCCCGACTCGGATCTGACCCTCTATCATCCCGTGGGTCTAGGTTATCCAAATAATCTTCTGGTTCTGAAGTCTGCATGGCATGCCCCATGTCTTCGGCGATGGTGATGGAGAGTACTAAACATGACCATAAGCGAAGCACGAACATGAAACAGGGATATCACTCTCCTTCTCGGATGAAGATTGCTGGCAAGAATAGAAAGAACAGAAGGCGCATTATAGGACGTCGAAGTATGAAATACCACAACACACCTGGCCGCTGCGACGGCGAGAATCCAACCCAGGCAACTGGGGGCTAGTCGGTTGGAGGAAGCTGGAGGCGGCAACTGGGGTTTGGGAAGACTTCTGATTCATGATGCAACGACGAGAGCAGGATATGTTACGGTGTTATAGACCAGTGAGTAATTGAATTAGAACAAATGGATAGAATTTGTCCTTGGGCAGACGAATGAATCCCCGGCAATCTTGCCTATAGAAGGCCAAGGAGGGACGGGAGTAGCAACGATTGGGGCGGATGCTCCGGTCTGGAACTGAAGTCGATATGGTTGTATCAAGTAAAGAGAATGTCGCGTTCCAACAGTTTTATAGCATCTGAGAAGAGCCTCCCTGTGTGTTACGGTGGTATCGGATACAGGGCGCTCCACATAGGCCGAACAGTTCTCACCACCCCACTCGTTTGTCTCCTTCTTTTTTGGGGGAGTGAATATCTGTTTTAGGGGAAATTTTCCTCGAGAGTCGAAAGGGGCGTATTACTCTGAATGTTAACCAAAACAGGAGTCCTGTGCCGTGTAGGGCTCTGAAAGAGGCTGACGAAGCATAAGCAGCCCTACTCATCACATGATACAAGGACCGGCATCGCCTGCCAGATTCTGTTGGTGTTTGCATGAGTCTGTTCTCCGCCAAGAGATATTAAGAAGGCAGGATCCTTCGGTACACGGTATAGCATCGTCGTCAAATTCAAGTTTTTGAGGTAAATAGTACTTTGGTCGTAATGTCTAGGCACATTCAAAGTTTGAAGTGAATTGATTTTGGTAAGCACATTACTGTAAATGCAAATTTTATAGCTTTTCAAATAGGTATGTGACACACTTTACTGAATCGTTCGCGAATGCGCCACGGTGCCGCGGCCTCCTTCCTAATTCGGTATGCTGACACGCGTTTATTGTTCGGGGTACGGGGCTCGATCGACCTTTTGTCGTTTCTGCTCTCTCAGCTACCCTTTCCTAGCCTTTCCCAGTGGCTGCGCCGTTCTGTACCCAAGTGTGAGAATCTTCCAACATGTTTGAAGTTGGTGAGTTTTCCTCCGTTTTCCTCCTGTTTCCTCCTTGAATAAGAGTAGCGATCTCACCTTGTCTCTGAGTGACTCTGGGGACGAGCGTGGTGTAGCCGACAAGAGGGATGCTGGGAAATTGTAAATTCGCTGAGATGCTGGGGCAAAGGAGAGCCAGGCACCCACGGTCGCCACTCTTTTCGGGCATAAGCCGTTCTCTTGTCGATGACTTGCAGCACCAGGCACGTTCCTCAATGGACCTCTCGGGGATTGCTCTCGGGGTATCTTCGTTTGATACCGGCCATCCACTGAAGTTCCGGGAGGTACGCAATCGATATGAAATCTTTCTTCGAGGAAAAGTGGGCAAGTTGTCCAGATGAGAAGATGGGTTGGATCCGAAACTTCTGCAATAAGCTTTGGGTCGCTTTGATTGCTGGCAACTTGGTCGTCCTCCGTGACATTATTCCCCGCGATACCTCCGCCCAGGAAATCCGGACTTTATCGCACTCAGCCAAGACCTGGGGTAAGACATCTAATCGATCTTATCTTTTGCCGTTTTTGGGCGAAATGCGGGGTATTTGTCAGGTGTATGTTCTGATGACCTGGGGATTGACATTGTCAACTTCGAACTCTATCAAGGCAATCCCACACAAATCTCTCGCGGCTTCGACGCTATCATCAAACCCAAACAGATTTTGTTCTCGCTGGCACCCCATATAACCCTTCGTCTCAGAAAGTGCCCACGAACACCCTTGTCCTGCCGCACACCGAGACATTGAGCAGAGCTCTGTCCCGGAACCTAAACGACTGCACAAGAGTGCCATACAGCCCAAGGATACAAGAAGGAAGGCAAGAACAATACCAGAATGGTAAGTTTCTGTCAGGATCGCGTCGTCCCCACAGATCGCAGCAATCTGGACTCCTGCAAAATGAGATTCAAGCAGGTCCTCCAGGTTTGCCGACATACACGCACCGTTCCGGTCTTCCTCTCGTTCCCTGCTGCTTTTCAATGGATTGACCAATCTTGCACTCGCAGCCGACTGAGGTCCAGCGACGCCCCGCAGACTCTTTGCCCATGGGTCCTCACGACCATCTGCATGCCAGGACGCAGCAGCAGCAACAGCAACAACATCGCGAAGCACTTCGCCTCGCGTTAGGGAGCATCCTTGCCTCCGTGAGCCCATCTTCTACCTTTGATGACGCTGATTGTTTCATGGCGTTTGTGATTCTGAACAAGAAACGTCCGCCTTTCAATCCCCCGTCGCGCTCGTCGTCGGGGGCCTGCACCCCCGCGTTCGGGATGTCCTCTGGTGCCCACACCCCCGCGAATACGCCGCCGGTGACGGGCTACTATCCTCTCGCCCACGGACCCAACTCGTCAGAGTACCTCCACCCTCATCATGCGTATCAGCACCACGGGCACGCCCCGTTGCCCCCTTCGAGGCTGGGTCGCTCGGTGAGTCACGGAAATAGAACTGGGGTGTTAGATGGGACTCACGGATGATGTGATTTGGCGTGCCATGCCATGCCACGCCATGATTGTGATTATAGAGTTCTTCAAACTCGCCCACTGAGAGTGCCATCCCATCTTCGTCGAGCTCTGCCCACCCGTCACCGAGACCTGGGGCAACAGGATCTGCCGACCCAGTACCCCTCCCTTTCGACCTTGAGCCTCTGCCTCCAGCTGCCGTCCATGCAACACCATCACCGACGGACGATACCAAGCCTGTTCGGCCGTCCATCTCGCCGTTACACTCCGATCATGGAAGTGGGAGCGAGGGTGAAAGCGGGAGCAGCTCGCAGACTGGAGCGGGCACTCCACGAGCCAAGTTCTTGCAGACGTTGCAGTCGAAGAGCGCCTGGGACGCACTCATCCACGGATCCTTCTCTTGAGCCTATTCACCATCATCACCGAAGGCCCATCCAAGGTAAGTATGAGATCGAGAGGTTGTCCATATCCGTTATTTCTTGTGTATTTCTGTTGGAGAGTTATGCAGGAGGAGGAGTATTGTATGTATTAATAGTGTGGTGTTGGAGCGGTGTCGAGAGAGTAGCCTGTAGACGGTGGCGAACATTTCAGAGGACGGATGGGATTATCTAACGGTATCGTACCTGTTGTTGTCTTGTTTTATTGTACCCCCACTCTGCCTTGCGATAGCTTTCAAACTTGAGGAGTATGTGTAAGACACAGAAAGAAAAGAAAGGTTGACGACGAATTTTCGTCGACTTCCGACTCGACTTCGAAGGGCCAGCGTAGACCCGTCTCGGCCCGCACTACTTACACATGAGGAAGGTTCTAGATTAGATCAAAAGATTTTGCAATTCATGACATCGAATTGGCGTCACCGGCTCCTTTGACCTTTACACCCAACGTCGTTGAGATGGAGGCATTCGAAACATACCAGACTCCTCTCTCAAGGTGCGTTTTCCCGACATAGATCTTCTATCCGATTCACAGCTAAAACCGATGTCTTGTAGCCGCTATGCGAGCAAGGAAATGGCATATCTTTTCTCTCCAGCCGTATGTGCTTCTACTCAGCCAAGGCTTAAGTCTCATATACCAAAAGAATCGGTTTTCGACCTGGCGTCAACTATGGCTGAACCTCGCCATCGCAGAAAAGCAGCTCGGGCTGCCCATTTCAGAAGAGGCCATCGAGCAAATGAAGGCGAACTTGGTAGGTCCTAAGGCGTCTTCTTCCTTGTCATGATTGCTGATTTCATCAATTTCCACGTGCAAAAGAACCTCACGCCGGAGCAGTTCGAGATCGCCGCTCTCGAGGAGAAGAAGCGTAGACACGACGTAATGGCGCACGTTCATACGTTCGGGAAGGTCGCCCCTGCCGCGGCGGGCATCATTCATTTGGGAGCGACGTCGTGCTATGTGACTGAGTGCGTCTGAGGTTTCGGTTTTGAAGGCCTAAACTGACCTCATTGTCAGCAACGCAGACCTTATCTTCCTGCGACAGGGCCTGGGGTACCTCATTAGGTCGCTCGGAATACTGATCTCCCGCCTATCCGCTTTCGCAGCGCAGTACAAGGATCTGCCGACGCTGGGTTTCACCCACTTCCAGCCGGCCCAGCTCACCACGGTCGGAAAGCGTGCGACGCTCTGGATCCAGGCGAGTGGTCTCCGTCATGTTCCAGATGCCTATTGAAATAATTTCGCTGGATGTAGGAATTGCTTTGGGACTTGAGAAACCTCAAACGCGTGCGGGATGATATTGGGTTCAGAGGTGTGAAGGGCACGACGGGGACGCAGGCGAGTTTCTTGACGCTGTTCGATGGGGACCACGCGAAGGTGCGTTCCAACTTCTCCTATCCAGACCCCACACCGACGAAGAGAAGGTGGAAGAACTCGATGAGCTCGTAACAAAGCTCACGGGCTTCGAATACGCGTACCCCGTTACCTCCCAAACGTATTCACGAAAGATCGATGCCGACGTACTCGCCCCTCTCGCCTCGCTCGGCGCGACCGCCCACAAAATCGCCACCGACATCCGTCTGCTCGCCAACTTGAAAGAGGTCGAAGAGCCGTTCGAGTCGACTCAGATCGGGTCGTCGGCGATGGCGTACAAGCGCAATCCTATGCGTTCTGAACGTGTTTGTTCTCTTTCGAGGCATTTGATGGTTCTTCATCAGAACGCACTCATGACGAGCAGTGTTCAGTGGTTTGAACGCACTTTGGATGATAGGTGCGTGCATGCTTTTTGTTATCTCAGCAATGGCACTCAACATTCTCCTTGCAGCGCTAATCGCAGGATCACCCTTCCCGAAGCCTTCCTAACCGCCGACATCGTCCTCTCGACAATGCAGAACATCTCCGAAGGGCTCGTCGTCTACCCAAAAGTCATCGCCCGCCGCATCGCGCAAGAGCTGCCCTTTATGGCGACCGAGAACATCATTATGGCCATCGTCAAGAAGGGCGGGGACAGGCAAGAGGCGCACGAGAAGATCCGCGTCCTCTCGCATGAGGCGGGGCACCAGGTCAAGCAGCTCGGGTTGGAGAACGACTTGATTGAGCGCATTCGCGCCGATCCGTACTTCGATCCTATCAAGGGAGAGCTGGATACGCTCCTTGATCCTGCGAGCTTCATTGGACGGGCGCCAGAGCAGGTGGATGCATTCTTGGAGAAGTGGGTCAAACCAGCGCTAGACGATCCAGAGGTCAATGACGCGATCTCGAAGAGCCAGAAGGTGGAGCTGAGTGTCTGAGAGACGGATGGTCTAGGAGGTGAAAATAAGAAAATCACTAGCTAGGGTAAAATTATAATTTAACATCTAACAAATTAAAATTAAACGCTGTAGTTAACTTCATATTCAATTCTTGCTGGGTGTAGGATTTTGAGACCCCTTTCGAAGTATCTTTCACTGAGAGGAAACGTACGTGGTGTGTGCCCTAAAAGTGCAGATCACAGGGCCAAAAAATTAAATTTCAAGTACGCACCTTAGCGCTTAGCGCCTGTTGGTGAACCCCTTGGAAACGGCGCTTGTGAGGCACTTTAGAGCCAAGAGATTCTGTGGTTATTTGCAATGCCGGGTTGAGACAAACAATCACGAGCTTCTCCCTTTGATTTCAACCACCATGGCCAGTGCACCCAACCGCCGAGCTCCATGTTCGACAGGCGGAGTCTCTTGACTGCTGTGGATACACCAGCTTCATTAGACGTCCAAGAATACACGATGTGAGAAGAGAAAACGAAGAAATGCCCAAGAACGTCAAGAATTTCAAAACGCGCTCGGCTTATCTTCGTTCTTGAGCCACCATGGCAAACCTCGGTGGCTTGCATTTATCCTGCAGTCATTATTCCAACTGCGGATGGTGATTATTTCTCTACAAACTGATTTACATATCTATACTCTTTGTGCTCTTCAAGTTTTTGCCGCCACGGGCGCCAGTGACTGAGGCCACCTTCACAACCTTTGGAGCATCTTGTCACCGAAGTTTCTGACGATGATGCGATCTGCGGCTTCCCGGGGTGGCTTGCCCATGTGCCGGCACGTCGTAATGCCCCGAGCATAAGTAACCATCGCTTGAACCGCTTCTGTCAAATTTCGCAGGGAACCCTGACTATCCCAGACACGGCGTACGGCGAAGCGCAAGGACAGGGAGGGGAAAAGGAGGATTCTCTGATTCTGAAGACGTTCGATATCCTACTTGAAGTGTATCAAACCCAAGAACTACAAGACGAGCTTGGAGGCTTGTGCGCTCTTGTGCGCCATGCCACGAGGCTTGGTTGTCGAGCCCATAAGCGCAAACATGGCGGTGATCATCACCCAAGGGCCAAGGCCCCTGATTTGACGTAACGCGTCAAATTGCTCACCCTAAAAAATGGAGGGTTCTACCGAGCTGCGACTTTCTTGGAACCTGCTTGGAACCGACTTCGACGAGTGCGTGTCCTTCAGTGCTCCAACGCTGCCAATCACAACCCCACTTACAGCACATAGACTGGCGTGTAGAGCCTTTCTTTGTTTCCTGCCCATTCGTTATTTCTTTCTTCTTCGTCTCAGGTCCCACTAGCGTCCATTTGCTCGCCAACTTTCGGCTGCGCGATCACCCCGGATTTATTCGCCCACCCTAGACTACGTCTTGCCCATTCGTTCAACCACCAGCTCACGACTCCTCCCCCGCTCTTGTTCTCGTGCTACATGAGTGGGATACCCCGAACATCGGCTTCCGCCACCAGTCTCCTCCTACCTCATGACCTGGAATCTGCTGGTTCAGCTTCTCGTCGCGGTAGTGGACAGGTGCGTCATGTCGTTGCTTTTCGACAGGGCACTGACCAACCTTCCCGGTATCTAGCAATCGTTAGCGGAGAAGGTGTGTAATATAGTTCTATCATTTCTATGCTTCACCAACGTTTGTTCCAGTATTCTTTGTCACCGTCACCGAAGACATGGGGCATGCCTTTGGACTTGCAGACCTCGGAACCCGATGATTATTTACATAACCCAGATCCACGTCGAGACAGGCTCTCGGATAGAGGCGGAAGCATCTTTACATCTCGAGGTCTGGCGAATCTAGGTTGTTTATTCATCCTTGCTGCGGGTTTAATCATGCTCTTGTACGTTTCCATCTATGCTGATTATGCTCTGTATCGTTAATCGCCGAGCTTCTTCATCCTCTTTCATTAATCAACAGCGCCGGTACGTCATTTAGCTTGCCTCGCCGTTGCAAACGTAACTCAGTCTTCTTGCAGGCTATCCTATCCTCAGCCATTTTATGACCCCAATACTGACCACCCAAGGTGGCTTCAACCTCGGGGGAATCAACGCTACGGGTCAAATTCCATCTTTCGGCAATAACTTTGGTCTCATCGACCGTGATACGCCAAAGGAAGCCTACACGAAGAAGTCATATCTATCGAACGAGGAGCTCGTTCTGGTCTTCTCCGACGAATTCAACGAGGATGGCCGTTCGTTCTATCCTGGCGACGACCCGTTCTGGGAAGCAGTTGATTTGCATTATTGGGGAACCGTAAGTCGTATTTTCTGCCAAGCATGTGACATCGCTCATTAACATTTCCTAGAATGATTTGGAGTGGTATGATCCCAACCAACGTACGTGTGGCATCTCATGATATTTTGATCGTGGGCGTGTCTAACTCGTCGACACTCAGCGACAACGAAGGATGGCGCATTGCGTCTCACTATCGAAGTCGTGGACCCTATCACCAACCACGACATGGATTATAGGTCCGGCATGGTACGTGAGTCCAGCTGTTACATATAACGACTCTCTAATCAGCGCTCTCTAGATCCAAAGTTGGTAAGACTGTGCGCATGGTGCCTATTACATGGAAGGAATTCATATACTAAATTAGGAATAAATTTTGCTTCACTGGGGGTCTCATTGAAGGTGCGTAGGTGTGCGTTGTTCACCGGATAGACCGTAATCCTTTCATTGAACAGCCGCCGTGACCCTTCCTGGCAACACAAGATCTAGGTATGAAGCTTTCGGTTTTCGACTTACCTTGAATACTAATCGTTTTTCGTCTGTAGTGGTTTCTGGCCTGCCGTGTACGTTCATATATTTCCATTTCCATGCACAACGTAGTGCTAACGGCCCGCAAAGCTGGGCTATGGGCAATCTCGGTATATCATGCAGTCATTTTCCTTGACTCCTTGGCTGACGTAGAGACTAACAGGACGAGCTGGATTTGGAGGCAGTCTCGATGGCATGGTGTGTTCGCTCCTTAGTCTGTCTTTCATTCGGTTATTCAACGCGTCATAGTGGCCTTACACTTACGAAGCTTGCGATGTCGGTACCCTGCCAAACCAGACATACCCTGGAAGGAGAGAACCACTTGCCGCCACTCAGAATGGCGACCCTTCGAAAGAGGGTGTGCTCGTAAGTGGTTTCATTTCATTCGAGCGACTTTCTGGCTGACCGCATGCTTTCCAGTCGTACCTCCCTGGGCAACGTCTATGTGAGCCTTCATTTTCAATCCTAGGACTATAAAGTCATCATTGCGTGCTTTGTAGCTGGGTGCACATGTCCTGGAGAATCTCATCCCGGACCGATGAGGACCGACGGAAGCTACGTTGGTCGAGCAGCGCCCGAAATCGACGTCTTCGAAGCACTCGTCGATGGTGATGGTGGCAAGGTTGGTGCTATTCTGCACCTTGACAAGTTGCTATTTATCTGGATCCTGAAACAAGGTATCATTATCGTCTCAATGGGCTCCTTACAACGTAAGCCCACCATCTGATCCACGATTCATCAGTACTTATTCTTGTTCGTAGGCTGAATACAACTGGTTGAACACAACGGAGAACATTGCCATTTACGATACAGCTGGCACGGTCCTCAATACGTACAAGGGCGGTACGTCATCGATTGTAGCCAATCTGGCCCACAGCGTCCTGACATTTCTACTCAGGTGTTTATCAGCAAACGACGAGTGGGCTTGCTCTTACGAATCAAGATTGCTACGAGCTTGGTACGAAGTGCTTCTCGGTCTACGGGTTCGAGTATAAGCCTGGGTAGGTCCACGCTGCCTTCGCAGAGCAGTCTGACTTACACCACTCAGCTTTGACGATTCGTACATCGCATGGATCAACGACGGTAAGCTGTCCTGGAGGCTGGGTGGAGCTGGCATGGGACCCGATCCATTGACTGAGATCGATGCACGCCCCGTTCCTCAAGAACCCATGGTTAGTCCGTGAGCCTTTTCCGGATGTAGCTGTTCTGAAACATCTTCGTAGTACATAATCGCGAATCTGGGATTCTCGCCTAACTTCGGACACCTCGACTTGGACAACTTGATCTTCCCTGCGACGATGAGCATAGACTACATTCGTGTCTATCAGACCAAGGATGCGATCAACATCGGCTGTGACCCACCACGATTCCCGACTGCGCGATATATTGAAACGTAAGTCCCCTCTTTCGCTCTGTCGAGACTCATTCTTGATGAAATCTCCGTTGCGCACAGGTACAAGGAGCTTTATACTAATCCTAATATCTCGACGTGGGAGCAGTCAGGACAGCCATGGCCGAAGAACCGCCTCGCAAATGGTGGTACATGCTGAGGCTGGTGCTCATGTCCTCACTGAACACTATTATCATGGATGGGACGATATCTAGACGCTTTACCATACCGCATATTCCCTATATTAATCTTCATTTTCCCCTTGCATAGCACCTTCATCGCACACACCGCATTCGCACATCTTGATATTCAAACATCCACTATACCTAAATATATTTTGCTACATCTCCGGATGACAGACTTACGAAGGATGGAAGGTTTTTACGGAGGTGCTGTCCTATTCTTGGAGCGGGATGAGATAACGTACTGCGGCCTTCACCCCCTCCAGTGAGTTGTCGACCAGGCTTGGAGTGGAAGGTCGCAGGGGCTGTCTGTCTACGAGATATAGCCATCTCCCTTTGACTTTCAATATTTGACAAGGCCCTGCGGTAGCCTCATAGGTCGTGAATATAATATCTCGACAGTCATCCACAAACAGACCTTCAGGTGGCGAGCCTACTTTTAATTCTGTACTGACTCTTGGAGCTGGATGTCGATTGTTCCTCCCTCAGTCAACTTCTCAGGCTGTAAAGCTCGAATCAACATCGGACCGTAACTTTGCTTGTTCGAGACAAGTTGATGAACAAGGATTTCTTGAACAAGTGGATCGAAATATTGTGCGAATATTGTCTCTCATCTTCAAGTTAGTATCATGATTTGTAATTTTCGGACCAATCAATCTTCGATGATCCTACTCCACAATCGATTACCTAGTAACCAATCCCCATCCCCGAGTCGGGGATAGCCGATCCCTTCCCTCTGACCCAGGGGTAGGGCAGACATTGGGCAATGCTAAACTGAACAAGCAGATGAAAGGTAGACGAACGTAAGTACTTTGAAATGTGTTCAGAAGAGCTCGCCTAATTAGGAAGGCGCGCCCGGTCCGTGGCGCATCAGCGCTTAAACCGAGCGCCCGCATCATGGCAACCCCAACCGTTAATAAACTGCCGGCATGAGTCCGCGGACTTGTACTGATAATGAAATTGAGCGTTGCTAAGAGGCGCGCCGTTGTCCTGCTCGATAAGCAAGCAAGCCAACTGTGCATGAGGGGCCGATAATCACGTCCACAAGGGGTGTCATTCCAGGAGTTTTTTATTTTTTTAATTTTTTTAATTTTTTTTATAAATGCGCGTTGAATGGGGGAATTGCAGAGAAGAAAAGTGAGAAGATGAGGGAAGCAAGAACTTTGAAGTTTGAAGATTCTGGTGGTGCATTTGCAATCATGCACAACGCAGGCAAGCGTATCTTTCACAGCATCAATGACTAGGGTTGCTTACGCTCCGGCAGCCTTGATTTCCTTTTGGAGCCTATCCAAGCAAAAGACTGGTTAACATCCAGAGGAATTTGCCTCTTTAGACGGGATTGTTTCCTAAAGCAGATCTTCATCATTTTCTACACCCCGAAACAAAGAGACAAATTAGTGGGGCGGGAAGAATTCGAAGAACCTGTTCTGTCGTGGTTCCTCATGTACTACCAAAAAACCATGCAGCGCCACGGAAAGAGGCCCTTCTCAAATCCCACGGCGGATCATGAAACCCTCCAACTGACACAACTACATCCACTTCAGTTTCACATTAGAGTGCTCGGAAGAGGCTTTCTTTCTACAGTAATTCACTGGCTTCTTGTACACCCCCGCCCAGTTGTACACAGTGACTTTTTGAGTGATAGGACTATGATCGGGTATGTTTCTTGAATCCTGTGGGTGAATATATGGTTGGATCACCATTTGCAACCTTTGTGGGAGAGGCGGCACTGCTTCCGCTGACAGGGATGGGAAAACATTCCAAAAGCGGAAATTGGGCAAAAAAATCGACCATCCTTCGTGACTCTTCCATGACACTAGAGACCAACTTTGAGAGTAAAAGATGTCTGAATATCATGTTCTGACTGACTGAAATGCAAATTTTGGGTTGGGCTATCACCAAGAGAGCTCCAGGGCCTTAAGATCATCTGG